TGGGATGTTGAAGGACGTGGTGGGTGCAGCCTCCCTGCCGTCATCGTCATCGTCGAGATCGTCGTACATCTCGTCAAAGGCGGCCTGCAGGTGCAAGCAGCAGGAGGAGGAAGAGGAGGAGGAGGGGGAGGAGGGAGAGGAGGGGGAGGAGGAGTAGGAGGAGGAGGAGGAGGAGGAGGAGGAGGACGAGGAGGAGGAGGAGGAGGAGGAGGACGAGGAGGAGGAGGAGAGGAGAAGGAAGAGGAGGAGGAGGAGGAGGAAGAGGAGGAGGTCGGAGAAGCCCTCCAGGAAGGGCACGCCATCGATCCTCTCGGCGAGGCCGTCGCTGTCGATCCGATGGCGGCGCGAGACGGCGCCGAGCGATGGGAAGAAGGCACCGCCCGAGACCCGGCGGCGTGGGGGCAGAAGCAGCCGAGGATCCTCGAAGAGAGGCCGTCGCAGCAGAGAGGTACAGTCGGGGTGATCTGAGGAACCCTAAACAAGGAACGAGGGCTCCTTTTTCCACTCGTAAAAACTTGGACTTCCCGTCGAAAACCTAGGGAAAACTTGAGGCAAGCTGTGAAACAATTGAGGGACACCGAGCCCCTCCCCAACGAAAAAGGTTCCTTCCCTTCGGCGCCCCGACTGCAGTGGCAGAGCACCGACCACCCCGCCAGTGCAGCTGCGCGGAACAAACGCAGCAGCGCGGGTGGCGGAGGGGCGGAGGTGGAGACCAAGCGCCAGGCGCGCTGCAGGATTGGGGGACGCCGCCGATCCTCTCGGTGAGGCCGTCGCTGTCGAGCTGGCGCGCCACGGGTTGAGGGTGGGCCCTCGATCCTCGCAGCGAGGACGTCGCCGTCGATCCGAGGGCGCCGCGGGAGGCGGCGGAGCTGGCAGAGCTGGAGAGCAGGGCGCCGCCGAGCTGGACGGCGCGGCGGTGCGCCGCGAACGCGCTGCAGGGCGGCGGGCGGCGGGCGAGGGCCCGATGGAGGATGGCAGCGCGGCCTGGCCGCGCCCACTCGGGCGCTCGGCGGGCCGAGCCGCGCCGCCACCGGCCGGCGCGCGGAGCGCCACGGCCGCCGGGGGCGACGCTCCTTCGAGCGACGGACGCCCTCGGCGAAGCCGCCGCTGTGGCCCCGAGGGCGTCGCGCACCCCTGGGGCGGGCGCAGGGCCGCGAGGACGGGGGCCCGTGCCTAGGCCCCCGACGTCCGGACTCCCCGACACCCCCCCCTCCTCCTCCGCCTCCTCCTCCGCCTCCTCCTCCTCCTCCGCCTCCTCCTCCTCCTCCTCCTCCTCGTCCTCCTCCCCCTCGTTTTGTTCGAGCCCCCCGTTTTCGTGCTTTTTCAGGCCCCAGGACCCTCACAGATCGGCCCGGCCCGAAAAAGGACGCAGAAGGATGGGGTCTAGGGCTCTGGTCGTGATTTTTCTCGCGATGCTTCAATTTCTTCGGGACGTCGGATCTCAGGGTTGTTTCGTAGCGTCGACCCCCAGAGATCTCGACCCACTCCCCTGGGGACCGCTCGTTCGTCCTGGCTCGCTCTGTTGCCGCCGGCCTCGAGGCCGGGCCTCAGGGCACCCCCCAGGAGGCCGAAAGAAGGGCGGAACACCTCCCACTGCGATTTGCTCGTGGTTCGATGCTGTCCCCGTCCCAGACATGCGACGTCCTGTTTTTTTCAATAGTTACGGGGCCGCTGGAAGTCCCAACCCGTTCCCCGGGGCCGGTTGTTCCTCCCGAGTCGTCTTTGGACGGTCCCGGGGCCCGGCGAGGGCCCCCCGAGGCCGAGACTGGCCAAAAACCTCCCGCGTCCTGATCGTCTAACGACGCGATCACGTCTGGGCCGAGGGCGGGGCGCAGACGCCTGGGACGGCGGTGGGCACGGCCGTCCCAGGCGGGAGGAGGGAGGAGGAGGAGGAGGAGGAGGAGGAGGAGGAGGAGGAGGAGGAGGAGGAGGAGGAGGAGGAGGAGGAGGAGGAGGAGGAGGAGGGGGGAGGGGGAGGAGGAGGAGGAGGAGGGAGGAGGGAGGAGGGGGAGGCGCTGCCAGCGGCGCGCGGGCTGCAGGCGGTCCGGGGAGCTCTCCTCGAGCGGGGCCCTTGCGCTCCGCGGGCGCGGCGGGGGCGCGCGCCCAGCGGCTGCGCGGGGGGCGCGGTGGTCGAGAGGGCAGAGGGCACGGCACGGGCGCGCGCCCAGCGGCTGCGCAGGGGGCGCGGTGGTCGAGGGTCGTGAACCTGGACATGATCGCGTCGTGAAAAAATCAGGACGGGAGGTTTTTGCCCAAGTTCGGCCTCGGGGGGCCCTCGCCAGGCCTCGGGGCCGCCAACAAAACGACTCGGGACGAAAAACCGGCCCCGGGAAGAAGGTCAGGACTTCCAGGGACCCCGCATTGAAAAAATCTAGACGTCGCATGTCTGGGCTGGGGTCACGAAAAAGTCACGACTGGGGGTGTTTCACTGATGTCGGCTTCTGGGGGCCCTTCCCAGGCCTCGGGGTCGTCAAATATTTATCCTGGCGGAGGAGCCGGCCGTATGAAGCTGTGAATACCGTCGTTGTGGATATCGCCTTCGGTCGATCTCCTTATGGGGCCACGAAGCGTGTGGATGGTGTGCCAAAATAGGGCGGCCCCGCCATACGGGCTGCGCCACGAAACATGTGACGGGTGTGCCGAATCGGGTGCAGATACGCCATGCGGACTGTGCCACTGGGTCCTTCGGCGGAAGGAGTGTGCAAAGACGGACGCGGGTACGCCGTGCGGACTGTGCCACTGGGGCCTTCGGTGGAGCTTCTGATGGGGCCACAAAACGTGTGAGGGATGTGCCGAATCGGGTGCAGGTACGCCATGCGAACTGTGCCACTGGGTCCTTCGGCGGAGCTTCTATGGGGCCACGAAGCGTGTGAGGAGTGTGCAAAGACGGATGCGGGTACGCCATGCGGACTGTGCCACTGGGACCTTCGGTGGAGCTTCGATGGGGCCACAAAACGTGAGGGGTGTGGCGAATCGGATGCGGGGACGCCATGCGAACTGTGCTACTGGGGCCTTCTGTGGATCTCCCTGTGAGGCCACGAAAATTATGAGGGGTGTGCTGACAATGGTGATGATGATGATGATGATGATGATGATGATGATGATGATGATGATGATGACGATGACGATGACGATGACGATGACGATGACGATGACGATGATGATGACGATGGCGATGACGATGACGATGACGATGATGATGACGATGATGATGACGATGACGATGACGAAGACAAAGACGATGACGATGACAATGACGATGATGATGATGATGATGATGATAATGATGGTGCTGATGATACTGCTGATGACGCTGATGATGATGACGATGACGATGATGGTAATGATGACGATGGCGACGACGATGATGAGGAGGATGATGACAATAATAATGATGACGATGATGATGATGGTGATGATGATGTTGACGACGACGATGATGGTGAAGACGGTGGTAATGATGACAATGATAGTGATAACGATGATGATAACGATGACGATGACGATGACGATGATGATGCTGAGGATGAGGATGGTGACCATGATCATGATGATAATGATAATAGCGGTGATGACGATGCTGATGAAAATGAAGATGGTGATGATGGTGATGATGACGATGACGATAACGATGATGATGATGGTGATGATGATACTGATGATGGTGGTGATGATGAGGACGATGATGATAATAATGATGATGATGACGATGATGTTGGTGATGGTGATGATTATGATGATGGTGACGACGACGATGGTGATGATGATAATGATGGTGAAGATGGAGATGATGATGGTGATCATGATCATGATGATGATTTTTATGATGTTGATTATGATGATGACAATACTGATGATGATGATGATGATGATGGTGGTGATGATGATGATGATGATGATGATGATGATGATGATGATGATGATGATGATGATGATGATGATGACGATGACGATGACGTTGACGATGACGACGACGATGGCGATGACGATGGCGACGAAGAGGGCGGAGGCATGGAGGGGAGGAGGGAGGGGGAGTAGCAGAGGAGAGGAGAGGGTCGCGGTGCGCTCTCTCTCTCTCTCTCTCTCTCTTTTCAAAGCGAGGACCCAAACACCACAGGATGGCTGGGAAAACGCCTCGGGATGAAGCACCGATCCCGGGGAGTGGGCCCAGACCGCGAGGGGGCCAACGTCGTGCCGAAGCATAACGTCCGAGGGGCTGGGCACGGGGCCGACGACCTCCGTCGATCGGCTGGCTCCCAGCGGGCGGCCCACAGCCCGCCCTCGCTGGGCGGCGCAGCCGAGGGGTGCCGCACGGCCCTCGCGGTCCGCGAGGCGCTGCCCGTCCCCGGTGACCGACGCCCGGCAGCGCGGGCACCACCCCAGTGCCGTGAGCGGGCACGCAAGCTGGTCGAGCGTGCGGGACCGGCCGCTCGTGCGCGCAGCGGGCGCAGTGCAGCGTCGGTGCAGCGAGTGCTCGCAGCAGCCAAGGCTGCGAAGAGGCCTGAGCATGGGAGCGCTTGGGCGCCCTGGGCGCCTGCGGCCGGACCACCGCAACACACACGCACACACACACACACACACACCGCATACACACTCTGATTTACAGCGTGCACTGCCGCTAGAAGCCCACCTGAGCAGCTCTCTTGTTCCGCTTCTCTGCGTGGGCCAACACTTGTTTCCCACGCGACTGCTGCTGTTGCACGCTGCTTCTATGTTCAGTTTCGGGTTTGGCGCTGCAGCCGTGTGGGCTACAGCCTCGCAAGCGCAAAGAGAGGAGGACAAGGGGGAAGAAAGGAGGGATGAGGATGAGGGACGAGGCAAGAGGAGGACGACGAGCAGGGATGCGGTGTGACAGGAGAACGAGAAAAAGTGCGGAGGAGAAGAGATGATGGGTGGGAGGAGGACGAGGAGGAGGAGGAGGAGGACGAGGAGGAGGAGGAGGAGGACGACGACGACGACGACCAGCGTCGGCAGCAGGGCAGTGTCAGCCCGCGCGCCGCCTTCGAGTTCGTGAGCTGGTCGCCCCCGGGCCGCTCCGTGTAGCCGAAGCCGACCGCCCTCGCGCAGGAAGGCCCTCGCTGCGGCCCTCGAGGACGCCGCCGCTGCCGCCGCCGCCGCCGCTGGCGTCGCCGGCCCCCCTCCGTCGCCCCCGGGGGACGAGGAGGAGGAGGACGAGGAGGAGGAGGAGGAGGAGGAGGAGGAGGACGAGGACGAGGAGGAGGAGGAGGAAGGAGGAGGAGGAGGAGGAGGAGGGGGCGGAGGACGACGGGGACGAGGACGAGGAGGAGGAGGAGGAGAAGGAGGAAGGAGGAAGGAGGAGGAGGAGGAGGAGGACGACGACGACGAGGACGAGGACGAGGAGGAGGAGGAGAAGGAGGAAGGAGGAGGAGGAGGAGGACGAGGACGAGGACGAGGAGGAGGATCGATCGATCGAGCTCTCGGGCCGGTTCGGTGCTGCACTGTCGCTGCGCGCTGTGCTTCTTAATAAAATTGTGTGGCCTAGCTGAGGTCGCAATTCTGAAAGGGGGTCGCGGGCGCCACTGAGGCGCTCGGGCCCTACCTGCACCGCCCTCCCCCACGCAGGGGGTCTGCGGGCAGGGTAGCACCCGCTATCGGGTGCCCTCTCGCTGGTTCCTCTACTGCCCCGTCTTCTCTGCCCTTCGGGTGGGGGCGGGGGAGTCGGTGCACGACGAATTAGTCAGGGAAGCTCGGGCCTCGGAGTAGGAGGGGGACACGATCGGAGGCGGAGGAGGAGGGCGTCCTTCCCTGACCAGCTCGTGGGATCGTGCGCTGGTGCGTAAAAATGGGGTGGCCTGTGGGGCCGCGCTCGCTGGGGCAGGGCAGAGCCGCGCCGTCCGCTCACTCACATCATATTGTGTCGCTCCTCTCTCCGTGTCGTTCTGGCGAGACGTCCCAGTTCTCGTTCTCCGTGCGGCGCCGCCCCGATCTTGCGGCTCGTCTCCATCTGCGTGTCCGTTGACTTCGCCTGGAACTGAAGCCTGCACTTCTCCGTGATGCCCCCTCCTTTGCCCTTGTTCTTGCGTTCGAAGAAGATTGGGATGCTGTCTGTTATCTTCTCTGCCCTGTAGTGTTTCTCGAGGTTGTCGCACTCCGCTCCTGCGTCGAACATGCGCCCCGTGTAGTTCGCCATTTCGGTCCTCACGCGGGTGCGGGGGCTGTCGAGCGAGGCCGCGCCCACTTGTTCTCCCAGCTCCTGGCCAGGTGTTTCCAGGCTGTCTCTGCGCTCGGTGTTGAACGTCGCCCTGTGGTATCGTTGTTCTCCGTGGTCCCAGTTATCCTGCATGATGTTGCCGTTGGTCGTGTCCGTGTCAGTCACTTGCAGCTGGCGAGCGCATTGTACTTGTCCTTCATGGTGGACGCGTAGTAGTAGCTTGCGTTGTTCTTCGGCTCGTGAAGCACTGGTAGTAATTGATGCACTCGTTGATCGTAGGAGGGCGCCCATCGCGCTCTGGAGCATCTGGCACTCGTTGGGCGTGGGCAAGTAGCACTCGTTGCACGAAAGCCCCGTGTTGATGACCCTGCGCATGTGGACCGCGCGCTTCCACTTGTAGGGTATCTCTCGCTTGGTCCCGCACTCGTGGTAGCTCTTCTTCATGGCTTGGATGCGCCTCTGCCACTCTGGGTAGTAGCTCTGCGTCGATGTTACTTGAGGGCCCAGGTACCGAGCCACCGCCACCACTTCGCCTGGAAGTTTGCATGGTGGGTCCTCCGTCTCCTGCTTATCTTGGTTTTTCTTCAGGCCGATCTCGCTCTGGCGTCTGTTCAGCGCGTCGTCTATCTTGTGGTCGGCGAGCAGTTTGGGATTGGCCTGTTCCCCGTTCAAGATGAGCTTGCGTATGTCGCCCGCGTACTTCATCAGCCCCACGTTTACTGGATGTTGGATCAGTTCACTTCTTCCATACAGTAACTCGTCGTACTCTATTTCGTCGTCCTTGGTCCACCTCTGGATGCAAAAATAATGCCATTCCTGCTTCGTGGAATGTTTCGTAGTAGCCGTCCAGTAGTCCCTCTTGCGTGGTTCGTATATTCCTCCTGCTCGTGATAGTTCTTCGTCTCGTCGCTCTGTGCGTTGTTGTTGTGCTCGCCGTCGTTGCCGTTGGCGTTTCTTCGTGATGTCGTGCGGCTTTTTCTCGTTCTCGCGCATCTCCATGATCGGCTGTTTGTCTGTGGCGCGTGGATTGCCATCCAGCTCTGTCTCTTCCTGGGACCTGGGCGGGCCAACGACCGTCCCTGGAAGGTCCCTGGGTTCGAGTTCATCCGAGCAAAACGGGGGAGGCGACGATTCGGCCGCTGGCGTGCGATTAGCCTTTCTTTGTAATTTGCGAGCCTCTCGCGGTAGTCCGTCAGTTTCGGCGCCTGGCAGTAGTACTTCTGCGCTGTCTCTACGAGGATGGTGTCGTTGTCCGTGATGAGCTGATCGACTCCCTTTCCTGCTGGGTCCGCTGTCCTCTGCTCTACCTTCTCGATGACTTCTCATCTGTGTCGTCCGTGTCGAGATGCGAACGCGAGGCTGTGCTTTCCCCGTCTCGTTGGCTGAGGTCGCTGTCGTATCTGTTGTCGTAGCAAGGTCACTTGCACTGGTACGTCTCGTCTGGATCGGCAGCGTGTTAGCGGGGGTCCTTGAGATATCGTCTTCTCGGTCATGTTCCTCAGTATCATGATGTACCTCGCGTTCTTCTCTCCGAAATGGCGGTCGGCGAAGGTGCGAGCCTTCTGTCCCGCTCCGCCTGGTAGTCGTTCGGGCGATCCGCCTTCTTCGTGCGCTGGTGTTTCTGATCGTCCTCCTTTCTGTGTATCGTTGAGGTCGCCCTCGACAATGCTTCTGTCCTCTGGTTTCTTCGATCCAGTTGAACCCTCTGCTCGTCTTAGCGTAGTACTGTGGGGGTCTGTAGTTTAATATGATCAGCGGCGTCTGGTCGTGATGCGGGGTGATCGCGAGCTCTCTTCCACTGAGCTGCAGCTCCTGGATGTCGATGATGGCGCCCGTGCTGTGGTTGATCTCTTCCCTCGCTTGCCAGCCCGCGTCGTAATATCTTGCGTTGCCGCGGCCGTGCTGCGCGACGACGTGTCGTCTGCGTGATGCCCCCACGATGATGTCGATATTGTTGCCCTCCTCGTATCTCACCGCGAGCCTGTCGGGCTTGGCCGCGTGGCGGCAGAAGAGGAGCACAGCGAGAGAAGCTGAGAATGCTGCCATCATGCGGGCCGCCGCCCCTTCTGTCTGCTCGGCCCGAGGAATCGCACGGTGGCGGTCTGGGCTGCCCTGACAATATCTTAGGCCCAGATGGCAGCTAAGAGGAGGAGGAGGAGGAGGAGAAGAGACGGTAGCATCTGCCACCATGCCAGAGGCACTCAGTGGAATGTCCCCGGGCTCCTTCGAGTCCTCTACAGCCGGCACGAGTCACAAGGATGCGCGGCAGAGAAGCAAAGTCTCGGACGCCCTTCTCGGAGCTTCTCGAGCGGGGCGCGGCCAACGAAAGTGGCGGAGGATGGACCGAGGAGGTGAGGATGCACGGGTACCCTTGGGAAGGTTGCCCATCCTTACGAACTGCGGGTTGACTGTCTCCCACCAGCCTTTTAGGGCGTAGGTGGTCTACCCCTTCTTCCCCTGGGGGGAAGGGTTTACCGCTCACCCTGCACTCTCCCCTGGACATGGACGGAGCCGGTCGCGAGCGGTCGGGGCGTCCAGCATGGCCCAAGACGGCTCCAAGAGGGCCTCAGAGAGCCCAAGAGGGCCTCCAAGATGGGTCATGATAGCGCAAGATGCCTCAGGATGGTTTCCAACATTTTCCTGGATGCCCCAAGAAAGTTCCAAGACGGCTCCAAGTGGCCAAAGAGCTTCCCAAGGAAGCTCCGAAGAGGCCAGGACCCTTCCAAAACCCAAGGAAATCAATGTTTTTTGCTGTCTCGCCTTTTCGCTTCTGATGGCCATCCGAGGCTTCAAGATGGTTCCAAGATAGGCCAACAGGGCCCCAAGAGAGGCCCAGGAGAGCCCCAAGAGAGCCCCAAGACGGCCCCAAGAGCGCCCAAGAGCGCTACAAGAGCGCCCCAAAAGCGCCCCAAGAGGCGATTTTTTGGGCTCCCGAGGGAGGGCGCTAATTGGAGCCCCCCTCTTATTTGATCGATGTTCTCCAAGATGGCCCCAAGAGGCGCCCAGGAGGCCCCAAGAGGCCCCAAGATGGCCCCAAGAGGCCCCCAAGAGACCTCCAGGAGGCCCCCGAGAGGACCCCAAGCGGCCCCAAGAGGACCCCCCGAGGCACCCAAGACGCCCAAGAGCCCCCCAGGACCGCCAAGAGACCCCCAAGACGCCCCACGAGGCCTCCAAGAAGCGCCCAAGAGATATCCCAAGAGGTTCCGAGAGGTATCCAAGAGACCTCTGGCCCCTGGCCCTTTTGCTTGCCCTCCTCCTCCTCCTCCTGCTCCTCCTCTTCCTCCCTCCTCCTCCTCCTCCTCCCTCCTCCTCCTCCTCCTCCTCCTCCTCCTCCTCCTCGTCTCCTCCTCCTCCTCCTCCTCCTCCTCCTCCCTCCTCCTCCTCCTCCTCCTCCTCCTCCTCCTCCTCCTCCTCCTCCTCCTACTCTTCTCTTTCTCTTATTCCTTCTCCTCCTCCTCCTCCGCCTCCTCCCCTCCTCCGCCCCTCCTCCTCCTCCTCCTCCTCCTCCCCCTCCTCCTCCCCTCCCCCTCCTCCTCCTCCTCACCTTCCTCCTCCTCCTCATCCTATTAATCCTCCTCCTCCCCACTCCCCCATCCATCCATCCAGCGTCCTCCTTCTGCTCCTCCCTCCTTCGCACCATTCGGCCGTCCCCGTCTTTGCTCCCGCACTTCCCTGATTACCTCTACTCGCCTTGACATCGTTTCTGGATGGACTGGCGGGGATACTTTTTTGTTCGGCGGTTCCAAGGAAAAGCCCAGGGAACGGTCACAACGTCCGGGCCGCGGCGCATTGTACATTGGCGATCCAGCCGTCACTGTCGACAGCTGACCGCTCCTACAAGCGAGCTCGCAGTTGCACATGCTCAGTACAAAGTGCACTGAATTCG